GGACGGCCGCCGCCGCAGCCCTAGGCCACCGCCGGCGAGCAAGAGGGCTACCACCGCTGCATCCCTGTTCCCCTCCGCATCCAGGTGCATCACCTCGGCATCCCTTTCCTTCCATCCCATTCCCCTGTGTGCTAGGGTTTGGGGAGGCATCCCTTTCCTTCCATCCGATTCCCCTGTGTGCTAGGGTTTGGGGACAACTAATTTTCTTGTACTTTTTTCTTGGTGGCAGAAAGGACGAGACAAATGTGAGAAAGGACTGAAAGATTCAAGGTTTGTGTTGCTTCTCTTGCCAAACTTTCATTCAATCTAGATCCACATCCCTTCCCCTCTATCGAGAAGGAACCCGATTTAGATGCGATGTTTACTTCTTTAGTTGATTTTGCAGAGGAATCAGCTGGATTCAATATCTTGTACACATCACAATCCATCACTTGCATGTAAGTTTTGTTGTGCCGGATCTGCAACTTATTTCAAGTATTAAGACAAAATTCACACTGATGGCAATTCATAGTCATTTTACTTTAGTCCTTTATGCGAAAAACATGATGTGACTGTTCTATATAAAAAAGAGAGAAGGGAATCAATTGAACTTTAAGCTGCAAGTGCAAGTATACGTTAGTCTTGGAACTATTGAAATGCATACATGTGTCCTCGTTGCAAAAATACCAGTTCTGAGTTTTTCTTTCTTTCTTGTGCATGTTGATTAATATCCAATAAGGAAGCACTAAATGATTCAACTCTTCGATTTTTCTTTGTACACAAGTCGTCACGAACTGTAGATTGGAAGTAAGTTTTCTTGTGCTCAGGTTTTCGCCTTATCTGTATGGCCTTGTGTGATTAATTAGCGTTGATAATATTATCTACAGGGAGCACATGCAAGTTGGCCTCTAGTCTTCATCTGCTCTTCTACTGTCATTGCTTGATTGGTATGCTCTCCTTTTCTTATGAACTTTGTCTCTCCATTTGGCATAGAATTGCAGGTTGTGTGTGATCTGTGATGTGATGATTTTGGTTTCTAAAAACTAGACTAAATTTCCCCTATAGATCCTGTTGATGGCTTGTGGTGAGACGATTTTTTAGCATCAAGTGTGGTGAAATTGATTTAATTTTTTAGCATCAAGTGTGCTGATCTTGCCATGCATGTGCTCTCTTGTTTATCTTCTCTCTATGCGATTTGTTTGTACATATTGCCAAGTTTGTCCCATTTTCTTATCAAGTTTAGTCAGTGATAAGATGGGGAATATATGCATGCTTTCTGCGGAACTTATTGTATTGAAGGATGTATTTGACATTGAACGTTACTTGTACTAGTAACTGACTGCTGGCATTGTTTTGAAAGAATGCTTGTATATTCTCAATAGGTGGACTCTTCAGCTTAGCGATACCAAACAAGTTTGAATTATGAGTTTACAACAGCCTAATAAATCAAAGAATTGATAAGACCACCTTATATCCTGTTCAGTCTCCCAGCTTCTCATTCAGTCACCAAAGTTCACAATGAACTACCTGTACATTGGGTGTAAAATACTATTTCACTTCATATGTTCAAGAATGGTTTTCTGACATTGCCATTTGGTTGACCTTTTTAGACTGACAATGCCACCAGTCCAGACGAACAAAAAAAAGGTTGTTCTAAGAAAAACACCAATCTTGGACAGTGAACATTGCATCCTCTTTTTAGATTACATGATTTTTTGTACTCGCTTGCTTCATCTCTTTTAAAGCGGGCATCATCTTGAATAGTGTTTCAGCCGTAACAATGTTTTATAATCCGTACTTTTCGGCTTGTCTTTTTCACCCTTCAATGCATATTAGCCAGGAGAAGTTTGAAGTTATCACCTCTGAATGTTCCTTTAAGTAAGTGCTTACTATACCTTGTGCTTTCAACTGCAGAAAGAGTTTTCCTAGTTACTTGCAGGAGGGTATGCTTGAGGCCATCTCAATTCAGGCATTGGCTCAGGTAAGTTCACCTGTTATACTTATATTTTTTTTTGATATTATGGTGCTGAATTTGTAATTTGCTTGTACTGTCCAACTGCACAAAACAGTGTTGGCTTCTCAATGTGAAAAGGCAACATTGTCAGTAAAGAGGAGACTAGCCTGTGAGCAAGTTAGTTATTTTTCTCAGGTCAGTATTGCATAACACAGTCCTACAATTGACATTTTCTTCAGTTTTTTCAGCGTTTAACAATATTGCTACTTATTTAATTGGTTAGATGTATACCACCTTTTCAAGGCAGAGTTTGTGATGTACTAGGATAATGATTTATGGGATCGACCAAGTTTGTACTTCTTGATACGCTCATATTCACTTTGTCAATTTAGCTATATATACTATGGGAATTTTAATTGGAAAAAGGGGTGTGGATGTGCTGTCAAGAATTTGAATCTGCACGGAAACAGGCCTTCTTTTGTAGTGTCATCTAGTGCATTCTTGTGTACAGCTAGTATATATATATTCCATGTGCTGAGTTAAGATTGACATCACATTGAGGTTTTACAAATAGTTAAATAATAATTGTCTGCAGGCTTCTCAAAGCCAGAGGAGAAGTGGAACTCAGAAGTAGAAGATGACCTGGATGGCTTAAAAGAGCTAGGACAGAGTAAATGGTCAACATATTTTGAGGATGACAGTGAAAAGTCTAAAAATACAGAGGAAAACACACATGCTCTTTCTGGCCTGGCCCAGACATATAGCACTGGACGCAAAAGAGTCAGTTGAGGTGATCGGGTATGCTTATGTTTCAGTGTGAACTTTATATGTTGGCGCTCTTGTACTTTGTTTGTGCTATTTTCTCAAAATAGTTGGGTAGTTATCATCTTTATTGAAATGTGCTTCTAACTGCTGAGCTAAAACATATATATAGTTTACTAGTTGGACATATTTGTTCAGTTATTTCTCGCATAATATGGCACTTCAGAGATAGAACTCAATGGCCAAGCTTATGTCATAACTACACTGTTTCTGTTGACAAGTGCTCATCCTTCATCTTATATACTTTTGCAGTTTGAAAAGGGTGGGTTTTCCATTTCTGCAACTAAAAGAAAACTTACTTCGTCACTAGTCATAGGGCCTGGATCTGGGTACAATTTGGTAAGTATCGACTCTGCCAACTTTTTGACATAAGGTTGCCACTAGTCATAAGGTTGTCTGAAGACACAACATATATAATCCCTTCAGATACACAAGACTGAATTTCTGATGTTAATTTATTATCTTGCCCATCAGGCTGTAGCATATTACTACCATGGTCTCGTACTCGACAAGGGCGGTGAACCGGCCAACCATATCAGCGCAGTCTGCTGCCTCTCTGTAGCTGATGACCTACTTTCAGACAGCAAAAGGGCTTGCTTGAGTTTCTGCTTGGCAAATCCTGTCACAAGGTCTGATACTACATTACTACTCCAACATAGCTAATAGGTTAAATTAATCAAAATATGTGCTGACGGGATCTTTTACTTATTCAATTGTACGTAGGGTACCTCCTCCTTGTGGTGTCATGAAAAACATGCACACAAAAATTCCAGATGTCGCTTACAAGAAGTTTCAAGTGTATGGGCATCTGTTTGAGCAAAACAAGAATAGGTAAATCCCCAGATCCCAGGACCAACTCTACATCTGAAATGGCAAATTTTACAGTTGGAAGGTTGTTGTTTGTTGATTCTAATTGCTTTTGCCCAAAAACAATATTCAGAGCATGTTGAAAATTGAAATGGTAGTCTGCTTGAATTAGGCTCAAGAACATAGATGAACAACCTATATCATTCATATTTATTGTTTTGCTCTAGTGGTAATTTCACTACTTTCCTGGTGCAGCACACTTCAATCGGTTCCTGATCTACCAGAGTTTACGCTGTCACTGAGACCGGAAGGATACGAGTTGCCAAGCACTGATTCAATCTGGGAGAATGTTAATGGCCAACCTCAGATTCAGAGCCTCAAGGCGCATCTGAAGGATGGCGAAGATGAAGTAGATTCAAAATGATAGTTCTCACTTCCAAATGCTTCCTTTCATTGTACCACCAAACGTAGCAGAAGTTATACTCTAGAATTCAAAATGCTTAATCCAAAATGGTTATGAATGTAGCAGAAGTTGGTGTATGTATGGAAGATCTAATATATTATTTATACAAAAATCAAGTGAATTTGTTCAATGTGATGCCTTCTATATGAGCAAAAGTGGATTTGTCAAATTATTTTAATTGTAATTATATCTATTCAGTTTTGCCGACAGTTTTTTTTTGGGCAGGGTGTGGTTTGTAAAATACCTTGGAAATGATAAGGGGAACCTACAAACTGTCGGCAAAGGTCTTAACTGTCGACGTAGGTCTTAACTGTTGGCAAAGGGTTAACTGTCGGCAAAGGTTTCAATTGTCGGCGTAGGTGGACCGTTTGCCTACACATAAAGTGTCGGGGATTCTGTTAACTGTCGGCAAAAGTTTCGCCGACGGCTTCTAGCGCGACTGTTTCTAAACTGTCGGCAAAACTTTTCGCGGGAGGTTATCTGTCGGTAAAGGTGCCCTTTGCCTACAATAGAAAGTGTCGGCAAAAGTATGTTGTGTTATAGTGACAGCTTCTAAATTTGCATTCAATCATTAAAACATATTATTTAAAGAAAAATACGTCGTCCGTCCCGTGTTATGGTGGCGTGGTAGCCAGGGCAGGTCGTGGCGTCTGGCGTGGGTACCGGTGGCCACAACACTAGACCGGATGCGTAGGCGTAGGTCGTGACTTTTTTTCAATATTTTTTAAGATATTGTTAATCTCATGGTACGACGTGGAGGACCTCGACGCGGACGGCCACGTCGTGCGGTGCTCATCGTCGGCCTCCACAGCCACCACCACGACTTCGACATCGACCAAATAAGACCCCGAATGGGTACGACATGCTCGCTCGCGTTCGCGAAGTTCGTCCGAAAACCGCCTACCCCTGCCGCCGCCAGGAGCCAATGTCGCGCTACCGTGCAAGTCTGGCGGCGGCGGAACGAGGCCGCGGCTCATGCTCATCCTCCGGGGACGCACGCGACAGTTCATGAACGAGGGCGCGATCATGGACGCGATCGAGCGCACCGGCTTCGAGGTGGTGCACATGGATGAGGCGGCGTCCTGGGCGGACGTGGGCGCGGTGGCGCACAAGGTGGACGCGTGCGATGTGCTCCTGGGCACGCACGGCGCCGGGCTGACCAACATGGCGTTCCTGCGCAAGGGCGCCGTGGTGGTGTAGGTCATCCCGTGGGGGAAGATGGAGCCCTACGGGAAGGGTTCCTCGTCGCCCCAGCGACGCCCATGGGGCTCCGCCACGTCGCGTACAGCATCGCCGCCGAGGAGAGCACGCAGATACGATAGGTACGGCAAGGACCACCCAGTGATCGCCCGACCCGACGTGTTCTACAGAACGGCAGCGACGCCAAGTTCTCTATCAAGGAGCAAAACATCCGCTCAACACCACCGTGTTCGCGTCGACGCTGCAGATGGTGAAGCGGATGTTTGCGCGAAAGACCTCATACACATGCACACTCTTAATGCACTAGGCACACTTTGCACGCATCATTACATTTGCGCTTTGTACCCCAAAACATCTTAGTAATATATCTCTTAAAAATGTATGGATATTATCCACTCCATTATTCATATAAGTTTTAGAGTCATGATTTTCTTTTGAGAATTTAGAGTCATGATTTTCAGCCTCACGACCACCCAACCCCCCCCCCCCCCCAAAAAATTCCAATAAATAGCCTTGATTCAACCTTGACAATGTGTTGGGCCAGGGCTTGAGCCAAAGATTTTGACGTGACATTTTTCTCGGTCCCGATCCAAACCCGACCCAACCTCCGCATTTGATCGAGATCCAACTGGATCAGCAAGAAAGAGTCAATTTGAAGTCTGTGGTACCCAAAATTGACAGCATACAAGCATTAACTAGGAGTAGTTTGCTGATACGATTTGCTTGTTGGTTGCATCACTGTTAGGAATCTTTGAATCGGTTTGGTGTACTTGGCTCAAGTAGGCATCACCACTGGCATCACTGTCATAGGTGGTGGAGCTCTTATGTAATGACAAATGCAAGCCAGGAAGAGCCAAGGGTATTAGCACTAGGCACCACAGGGTGGCAAGCAGCGCGCCGTTGTCTCGGTGCATCAGTGTCTCGGCCGTAACCACGACGCACACAGCACTCTCGACACCCGCAGACGTACCTATGGTGACCCGAGAGAAGGAGCCCGCCGCGGCTATCATCCTCATCACGACGGACGCTACGATAGCGATGAGGACCGAAGCCCGAGCCCCGACCTGCCGGGCCCTCAGGCCTTCGGCCATCACATCCTCAACGCTGCTTTACCACCAAGGTACCGACCACCGACCAATATCCCAAAATACTCTGGGGAAACAAACCCCGGATTATGGCTCGAAGACTACCGGCTTGCCTGCCAAGCCGGTGGTGTGGATAATGATGACTTCATTATCCGTAACCTTCCACTATTCTTGGCCGATTCGGCACGAGTGTGGTTAGAACACCTGCCGTCCAATGCAATCCAGAGTTGGGCGGATCTAACGGAGATCTTCGTGGGGAACTTCCAGGGCACATACATGTGCCCTAGGAACCCATGGGACCTCAAGAACTGCCGACAGAAGACCGGTGAGACCCTCCGTGGGTACATTCGGTGCTTCTCCCGGCAGTGCAACGAGCTCCCTAACGTCGCCGATGCCGATGTTATAGGAGCCTTCCTGTCCGGGACTACCTACGAGTCTTTGGTTCATAAACTAGGATGCAAGGGCCCACGAATCACCAAGGAACTCTTGGACATCACCACCAGCCATGCCTCAGGAGAAGAGGCGGTCGGAGCGATCTTCGATCGTCTCGAGGGCAAGGCAAGGCGGGACGAGGGCGCCGGTGAAGGCACCTCCAATCATTCTACCAAAAGGAAGAACAAGAAGCAATGACGTGAGGACTCGCTCGTGGCCGCTGCTGACCGCAAGGGTGGTCGGAAGCTCACGGAGGGCACTCCGAACCACTTTGAAAAATTACTCGAGGGGCCGTGCCCGAACCATGCCTTCCCGGTTAAGCATCTGCTCAAGGACTACAACTTCATGCGGCGGTTCTTATCCGGAGGCTCCAACAAAGGGGAGCACGAAAAGGACCATGCCCCCACCGCGGACGACACCGAGGAGAAGGATGATGGCTTTCCGACGCCAGACGGCTGCCTTATGATCTTTGGAGGATCAGCGGCCTACGATTCCAAACGTCATCAGAAGGTCGCACGCCGCGAGGTCTATACAGCCAAACTGGCCACACCTCCCTTCCTCCGGTGGCCAGAGTCTGCCATAACCTTCAATCGGACCGACCATCTAGAGAGCGTCCCGCATCCGGGGAGATATCCGCTCGTGGTCGACCCGATCATCGGCCCGAAGCGACTCACCAAAGTACTGATGGATGGAGGCAGCGGCCTCAACATCATGTACGCCAAGATGCTCAACGAGATGGGCATCGACCGGACACGCCTTCGCCCAACCCGAGCACCTTTCCACGGCATCGTGCCCGAAAAGCTGGCCATGCCACTTGGGCAGATCGATCTGCCCATTACCTGGGACATCCATGCTATGCGAAGTTCATGGTCGTCCCCAACTATACATACCTAAAGCTGAAAATACCAAGCCCCCATGGGGTCATCACCGTCGGCACCTCCTTTCAGCGTGCCTATGAGTGTGAGGTCGAGTGCTGCGCTCACGCCATAGCAATCGTTGCCTGCGGGATTCATCACCGCCCTCAAGGAGGAGGTCACCGAAGAAGCGCTCGACGCCAAGAAGTCGATCGGGTCGTTCGAGCCTGCAGAGGGCTCCAAAGAGGTCCTCATAGATCCCGACAGCACCGAGGGCAAAACGGTGCGCGTTGGCACCACGCTTTCCTCCATATAGGAAGGCGCGCTCGTCGGCTTCCTCCACGCTAATAGAGACATATTCATGTGGAAACCCTCGAACATGCCAGTCATTCCAAGGGAAGTCACCGAGCACACCTTGAAAATCTGCCTAGGCTCCAAGCCGGTGAAGCAACGCCTGCATCGCTTTGACGAGGAGAAACGTAGGGCCAACGGCGAGGAGATAGCAAAACTTTCGGTGGCTAGATTCATCAAGGAAGTATACCACCCAGAGTGGTTAGCCAATCCCGTTCTTGTACGAAAGAAGAGTGGGAAATGGAGGATGTGTGTCGACTATATGGGTCTCAACAAAGCGTGACCAAAGGATCTGTTTCCTTTGCCGTGCATAGACCAAATAGTTGACTCTACCTTGGGGTGCCAAACCCTCTGCTTCTTGATGCGTACTCCGGTTACCATCAGATCACTATGAAAGAGTCCAACCAGCTCGCGACATCTTTCATCACCCCCTTTAGATTGTTCTGCTATGTCTCAATGCCATTCGGTCTGAAGAACGCTAGGGCTACATACCAGCGTTGTATGCTCAAGTGTTTCGGGGACCTCATCGGGCTAACCGTTGAGGCCAACGTTGACGACATCATGGTTAAGTCCAAACGGGCTGACCACCTCATTGCTGATCTTGAGCAGACCTTTGCAAAACTCTAAGCGAATAGCATCAAACTCAATCCCGAGAAGTGTGTTTTTGGGGTACCGAGGGGCATGCTGCTCGGCTTCATCGTCTCCGAGCGTGGCATCGAAGCCAACCCGGAGAAAATTTCAGCCATTACAAGGATGGGCCCGATTCAGAACATAAAGGGGGTCCAGCGAGTCATAGGGTGCCTTGCCGCACTCAGCCAATTCATCTCGCGCCTCGACGAATGAGGTCTCCCCCTTTATCGACTCTTGAAGAAAGCTGACCGCTTCGAATGGACATCCGAGGCCCAGGAGGCACTTGATATGGTCAAACTGCTTCTGACAAAGGCCTCGATCTTGGTTCCTCCAATCGATGGAGAATCCCTTCTGCTATACATAGCGGCCACCACGCAAGTGGTCAGCACCGCCCTGGTAGTTGAGCGGGAAGAAGAGGGGCACGCCCTCAAGGTGCAGCACCCTGTGTACTTCATCAGTGAGGTACTATTCGACTCTAAGACCCGCTACTCCCAGCATAATCAAAGTTTTCCTCTTATACACCTCGAGCCCTATGGTATTAACGAACGGAAGGGTCGGATTGCATGAGCACCTTTTTCAAATACAAAAAGGGAAGAAAGCAAGTTCAATCAAATGAAACAAAACTACGAATTTGTTTAACAAAACGAAGTTGTGAATCTGTTTTCAAAATACCAAAGTGCCGACACTTGTCCATAGATTATAGATAAATGTCCATCAAACCCATTTGACTAACCACCCCTCTGAGGCAGAACCATATCTTCGACTTTGCTCGCCAGGGTTTCCGTAAGAGGAGTCACCGTCGCTTCTATTTCATCTAGCTCGGAGGGTTCGTAGCCTAGCGCAAAACCAAGGCTCATCACCTCCAAGTCGATGTTGTCATCATAATGCGAGTAGGTGATGGTGAAGGCTTGGATAATCCCTGAGCGAAGAGCTTCCTTCTCCAGCTGGCGCACCCGCGCCGTGATATCTATGGCACGGGCCGCAAGCGAGCTGGTCCCCTCCGCCTGCACCACCTGCAGGTCATCGCAGACTACTCCAAGGGCAACCTTTAGGACATCGAGCTCGTCACTCTCCGCCTAAAGAAGTCCCCTCGCCTCGGCGAGATCCATGGCCAGTCCGGCAGAAGCGCCCTCGGCCTCCAGCTTCTGGGCCTTCGCTGTCTCAAGCTCAGCCTGGAGGGAGCTGATCGTTTGTTGCACCTCGTCGCGCTCTTGGACGGCCTGGTCACCCTCCCTGTGGGCCGTACCACGCTCCAAGTGGAGCCTCTCTATAGTCTGGCATAGCTCGTCTCACTCCTTGTGAAGCCAGGCGACCACCTCGGCGTCTAGTTTCACCCTCTGCTCCAGGGCCACGGACCTGTCCTCGGCTCCTAGCCTAAGATCCCACTCCTTCTCGGCCTTGGCTAGGAGGTCGATGATCCGCTGGCGGGTCTCGGCATCACACTGGAGCAACTCGTCCCGCTCCTTCCATAGTCTAGTGACCTCCTCCTGATCCCGCCGTGCCCTCTCCAATAGTTCATCAAAAGACTTCTCGGCGTCGTCCGCATCCACGGCAAGGGGAGTCAACTCAGCCACCCTCTGATGGAGCTGGGCGGTCATGTCCCTGTGCAGCCATGCCTCATCGACGAGGTGGTCCCAATCCTCCTTAT